AAAACATGTCCATGTTTGAAGGCCAGCAGTTATCCCAGCATGTCCTTTCATCCATGCAAAAGCGCGCTGCAAACACACGCATCTGCGGTCAAAAGCCCTGTTTGTTTTGCGGTGCGATGTGGGCTTAGCTGGATACACGCGCACGCGTGTCGGGGAGACAGCGATATACCCTTCTCCGCGCACGCTCCAGTAACTTAGCTAGAACTTAGCCAGAACTTAGGTCAAGACTTAGCGAACTTAGTAAGTGAGCTATAACCACTTAGCGGATGCAGTTTTGCTAAGTTAGATAAATGGGAGCTAAGTTCGCCAAATAAATCTGTACGCTAAAGAATGCTTGATGAAGTGGACTGAATTCTGCGGGAAGGGAGAAGGTTGATGCAGACGTCGTGGCATCAGAAAACTCGATGAAGGAGAAGGCTGCTCCCATCCTCAAGCACTTCATCGACCCCGAGATCGTGAAGGTTATCATCAACATCTGGGAACTGATGACGGCCCTCACGAAGGACATCGACGGCCAACCTGGATCCAATGTGGTCGGGCCCGACCAAACCGTCGGCGATGTCTACCGGTACTTCCATGAGCGACATGGACCGGCAAGGATACGTGCGGAGAGCGCGTCACTGACACTTTGGCTGGAAAAGAGCGAGAAGCGGTTCACGGCGTTCAGAGATGCATATTGGATTCAGACATATTGCACTCCGAAAGCAAGGGTCTGCACAGTGGTCACATCTCTGCCAAGTACGTGGCATTTGCTGCAAGACGCGAACCACTTTGCACGGCCAAGAATGTGACGATCACCGGGAAGATCGAGATGATCACCACGATCCCCGACGCGTTGTGTGCTGCATCAATTGCTATGGGATGTGTCCTTACTCCACATGCAAGACTCAGAGAGATATTCGGGGGGAGTGATCGTGAGAGAATGGGGTACGTTGGTGCCATCATCAAGGATGTTGACGAACAGCTCAACAACCTCAACAAGATATTCCCTGTCATGGCCAAAGCCTGGGAATCGAAGTTACCCGCCACCGTTGCACCACGTGGCGAGGACCGCACCCAGGAAGAAGCGAACCGCCTTACGTGGGAGTCGTTCATCGTGCAGGAGAGCAAGACGGCGGATGAAAAGCAACATCGGGCCTTCATCAACAATTTGCTGTACTCCAGAGATGGCAACAAGAAGTTCATCAACATCCTCAACGAGGATTTCGGCGAAGAAGGAGTACCAGCATGGTGGAGGATATCAGGAGAAACACCTCCTGTCCCTGAACCCAAGGCGATGCCGAAGCCCAGCGCCGGAAGCGAGCAGCCTGGTGCCCAACCAAGCGCAAGCTCCAACGATGACCCCACTGGTCGTGCACCGTGGTGGTCCACTTG